CGTAACTACGTATTCTGAGTTCGCCTTATACAGGTCTTTCAAAGACAGTTCAGGAAGAAATTAAAGACAACGAGAAACTCAGAAAGTATTTTTCAGTTAAAAACTTAAAATAACCACAGTGTGAAATAGCTTATATAAATATTAAAATATTGTCTGTTTTCTGCTGTTTTTAGATATTGTTCCATACTTTTTTAATGCAGGGCCAGATTTGCAATTGGGGGGGGGGGCTCCAGGACAATCAAATTTAGATTATGACTTCTTTTTGTCTTTTTTATGTCTCAGTAATTAAACGTACCAACTGACTTTTCATGATATTAGAGAAAGAAATGTCTCGGTGAATTCTGGAAACCCCTAGTCGCTTGCCATTAGATCTGACCCTGTATGAAAGAAACAAAATTTTATAATAATTTAAAACAGAGTGCCATTGAAATTATTTTGAAGTTGAAAACGGATTACGTAAGATCACGGCCTTTGAGATATGTTGCCCCATAATTTGGTAACATAAGTAGAAATTTTTAGCGGAATGCATTGCCTCCTATTTCAGGATCTCATATGCATTTCAGTAATTCTTTCCCGTGCACCTGATAATCTACGAGTATTTTGTTTGATTTCTAATTTCTTAATCCACGTTCCTCTGTAGTTTACAGTAGAAGGACTTTTATTAATGTTTGTTTCCCCTATCTGCCAGTATGAGTGCGCATAACACCATGTGTGCCACTGGTTAATGAAGTCATGCTCTTGAAACACTACTCTGGTTCATTACCTTTGTGACGTGGAAGAATCAAACTGGTTTCATGACTCCAGTGTTTTGTAGAGCGTAGACTATCAGATAAAACACCTGGGCTATTGATTATCTGTATGCAAAGCATTATCGCTTGATGTCAAGAGTTGAAAAGTTGAGATTATCTGGTGGATCTCAGTGTACAGCTAGTGCAGCTTCTATTTAATCATATATATGTATATAATAGAGACGGTTCAGAGCCATGTACGAGTACTATTGCGTGGTGTACATTATAGCGTTCTCAAACTATAGCAGTTTTTATTTCCTTACACAGGAAGCAGCCGTATGCTTGAAACTATGCCATCCCAACTTCATTGCTTTGCCTGTTTTTAGGCGGCACGTCACAATATAATAAAAATAACACGAAAATGCAGTGGAACCTCGAACTTCGAACAAAATCCGTTCCAGGAGACGGTTCGACTTTCAAGCTGTTCAACTTTCGAATTAAATTTCCCCATTTGAAATAATGTGAATTGAATTAATCAGTTCCAAACCTCCCAAATTTACCCAATATAAAACATTTTAAGTGCCTATTTTAAAAGATCATACTGGGAAATAATGACAAAACAAGTATGTTTTATTTCAATAATTGAATGTTTTTTTTTATAATAGTACATAAAAATATTGTATAATAATCAATAATAACAGTAGGAGGGATATTACTGTTCACTGGAAGGAGAATTACGCTTCTTTCATCTGGAATCGACTAGTTGAGAGTTGTGGTTCATTAACTTTACCACCGCTCGATTTTTCTATGGAGAGAAACCTGTCTTATGTCATTTGTTTTCGTCTATTTTTTAAAATGTTTCTGAAATGTTGCATTACATTATCATTAAACAGGTTGATACTCCTGTTGACAACTGCGATAATAGGGCGCCACTTCTCTACAAGGCGTGACGACAACGTAATGACCACGTGATTCTTTGTTCGACTTTCGAGTTTGAAAACTGGATTTTCCTCGAATTTTTGTTCGAGTTCCAAGTTGTTCGAACATGAAACCGTTCGACGTTCGAGGGTCCACTGTAATACCATGGTATTGGACCATGGTCTGTGTGGTAATGTAATGCTGTTCACTGCAGTGAATGAGCGAAATCACAGAAATTGTATCAGGATGTCTCGCCGTTGCCTTTATATGGTAATATCTAGTCATTTGTTGGCGTGATTGAGGAAGATCGTGACATTTCTGTTAGAATAACTAGCTGTGGCCTTTTCACGGTATTATCTCGTTATTAAGTGGAAAGGACTGAGGAAAGCCACGAGAAACGCCATATTCGCAATGGTGCCGAGACGCTTACAGGAAATCTTCAGACAAATCAAATGAAGATAGCCGTTTTGGTTAACGTTCTGCAGTTTTCAAGGTGTCTGTAATATAAATGTTGTACTTTCAACTGTAACAAGAAACGAGCTATAAAACTGTCAGCAGAAGAATGCGGATTACTGTAGGACTCTGGGTCCATGTGCATTGTTTCCTGAAGAGGCTGAGGCTGTGCCAGCTGATGCTGGCTGCTACAGAGCGTTCTTGCCACCTTACTCGGGGATGCAGGGACCTCTGATTAAGAAGTTTATTCCTGGACGGTGGGGCAGCACTTGACTCCTCTCCAAATTTCAGAATATTTACACAGATATAAAAAGATGCCTGTCTTTCCGGTAGGCTTCTATATATTCTTGCGAAAAAGAATTCGTAGTGTATTCGGATGTAGTTATATTGACCTGTATGTGTTTATTCTGTGTTTGTGTTGTCCTTAGTTTAGGTAGAGGCTTTACGACGAGCTCATCACTAGTTTAAGGAGTGCTACCGTCTGTAAAAATGATCAGGAAACTGAAAATCAGAGGCCAGGGCCCGAGGAAGCCGTAGTGCCAGTGCTAAAGGAAAAATATCGACCTGTATGTGTGGTAGTAATTTCGTGTGACAGAAGTACTTGATTTCCATCATCGTTTATACATTTGTGATATAAATTATCTAATAGTAAGACTACTTTCAGTAAGGCCAGGGACTGTTATTGCGAAAGGCAAAAGGTTATGGTGGATTTGTCCATGTTGTAAGTGCCCGAAATACAGACCGAATTAGTTGGCTTTTACTTTCTCATATACGTAGTAAGAGAAAGTGTTGTGATCGTGAAAGAAATCGATCTGGAAATTTTGATGGATTTATACACCTTCAGTATCCCTGAATACGAAAAAGCCGACTTCGGGCAGTGCAGTCTGCCACTGTCCTTATGTACTCGTATGTGCACCTCGCTAGGGCCAGGACGGTCGGATTTCGTATTTTGCTCGGTATTCAATCATAGGTGAATATGGACATACTAACTCCAAAAATATTGATTTTTCACAGTTACCCAAACAAAAAACGATGACTTTCCCAAAAACCATTCTATTTTAGGTAAATTTCCATAATTTATACAGACTCTCTCTCAGAATAAAACTGTTTAGGTGATATATGCAGGAAAATAAAGTTATGTCCCTGTCTTCTCTCACTCGAACGCTGGGATCGTGGGTTGGAATACCACTCAAGACATGGAGGTCTGTATGTGCGTCTTATTATGTTTGTGTTGTCCTGTGTAGGCAGAGGCCTTGCGACGGACTGATCACTCGTCTAAGGAGTCATACCGTCTGTGTAAAAAAGATTACATAACTGATGAAGAGGCCAAGGCCCACCAAAGGGCTGTAGAGCCATTGGTGAATGAAAGAAATTTAAGTCCTCCAGCAGACTGGAGGCGAAATATCAGTTTTATCGAACAAATCGTGGCCGAATTTAATTAAATTTGAATCGTATATAGAGACAGTGGACCCAAATATTATTTATAGTCCAAAACATTATAAATATACTGGGATTCAAGCAACGGTCCTCCGATCGAGACTCAATCACAAAATATTATTTTTTTAAAAAATGGGCCCCGCGATTTTGATTAATTTTCTCCATATTTAAGTTTTATTGTTATCATTAACTAGAGATCATTTATATTGAAAATCATTTTTCTGAAATAATTATTTTACGATAGTGAAGACTCCTAACCGGCAAACGTATATGAAGGAGCATGTGAAATGTCTTTGTGCCCAAGTTTTACTTTTGGTTTGATTGGATATAATTTCATAAAACAACTAAATTCCGCGGTAGGCGTGAACAGACTGAGCTGTCATCACGAATTTGTCGGAATCACGTGGCAAATGACCGTTACCAAGAATGACGTAATATTTTTGACGACTGACCGGAGCGCCGAATTACTCCGCTTAAGTAGGCCGGTTGTTTACAAGGGGTTTGTATCTGCGGCAGTCGTTACGATATCTGAAAATTTCGTAAGGCTGACGCGACCCCGTTGCAAGCGTCTCGAAGGGACTTTCATTTTGGAATTGATTGGAAGCAGACTTGTTTTCCGGCAGTTCATCTTAAACTTTGCGGTTCCTTGTTGCTGTAATTTACATCCTAAATCACCTAAGGTAATGCTGATTCCGCCATAAAAATCGAAGTATAAGTAAAGATTCGAATTTCTATGTATCCTGAGCTACCCGTCCAGATTAAACTGATTGTCCGTACAATTTCCTATAGAAGACATTTCTTGCCTATAAACGCCTCGTCACGAGTGCAAGCTGAAGTAAAAATACACGACATTACTAACCCCGACACTAGGTCAAGTGGGATTTGTGGTGGACAAAGTGGCGCTGGGGCGATTTTTCTCGGAGTACTTCGGTTTTCCCTGCCAATCTTCATTGCACCAAATTCTCCATCATCATAATCACCCGGGGCAGGCTACAATAGGCCAATCAGTGGCCGCCGTGCCGAGTGGACCCAGTTGGACTCCACCCCCCACTAAGCGAATTAAAAAAACCGACACACGATGAAGTCGAGTGGTGACTCGCTTTACTCTTGGGTAAGTGTCCCCGGTATCTATCGGATAAACTAAGGGGCCCCAGAGTCTGTCTGGACACGGCAAAAGGTAACACGCCCATTCCTACCAGGAATTGAAACCTGGCCCCCAGTAATTTCATTGAATAAAATGTCCCTTTTTCATTTCTACTTTCACTTACTGGAACCGGCCAATAAGTTTGTTAAACTTTTCTAAAACGAAGGTAATAGTATTACATTAATTTTCTTTCAGTGCGAGAAACCATTCCTCCCCCGCCATCTTTCATGGTTCAGATATTGTATGCAGTATACTTACTTACCTGTGTAGAGTCTTATTGCCTAGAATGTGTTTAATACGTGTCCTTCTGTTTGTTACAGGTAAGCATGAAATTGCTGTTTGCAACTCCTGGGTTGCTTACGTCACTGCAAAAGGACTAAATAAGTAAGTGGATCCATACAATGGCTTATAGACTGGAATTACAGGCTTAACACTGGTACAAGAAAAGCTTAGAATATTCGCGTTCGGTTCCAAACACAGCAATAATCATATATACTTACTGAAACACTGAAGACCATGTATACGTGGTAAAAGTCAGCCATACGAAGATTATGAAGGAAGTCCACACTGTTAATGACATTGTTAATGTAATACATGTATATATTTACATTATAACACACATATACATACATATGGCGTAGTATAATTTTGTCATTCGTTTTGTATGGCTGGACCGCCTCTATGGTCTAGTGGTCAGAGTTCCTGCCTACATTTTTTCAATATACCTAATCCTTCCAGTCGCTATATAGCTGGCAAATGGGGGTAAAGGGCGGCCGGCTCGTAAGGCTGGCAACCTTACCGTCATCTGTGAGCCAGTTGTCTAGAAGATGTGAGATCCTCAACCTCTCACACCCCTATGGGTCCTCACGGCCTGTTACATGGACAGCTTTACCTCTTTTTGTATGACTGTGGTGGGACACTATGAATTACAAGTGTTTGGAAAAGCGGTATTCTGGAAGTAAGAGTTTAGGATATCACATAACCACGAACTTCGTGACCTATTCAATCCTTTAGTATTGTTAGGATAGTGAAATCTAGAGAAAGTTAGATGGGTAAGGCATGTAGAGAAGTTGGAGAACGCTTACAGAACGTACAGAGAGTTTACTTTCTGGCGTTGGTCCCATCTGAATGTTAGCTGTACTCCCGCACTACACTTGAGCAATTTAATGCTTCCTGTTGGCTTGGTCATTCCATTCAAATTCCTAATACACTGAGCTGTGTGCCTCGCTGAATGTTGGTTCTACACGATTCAAGTAGCGTGCAGCCCGAAGGCCGAGGATTGAATTCAGCGTTCCACTTTCGCATTTCGACACCAAATTCCCGTAGAAAGTAAAAAAGTGAAAAGGGTTACTCATGTTCGGATTTCCCGTATGTATGCGTTCTTCGCGACTTGCAGCCCTCACAGGCCATGATCTTCATGGGATGAGAATACAAATTGTCCATTCCCCAGTACCACTGCTAGGCCTGTTACTAATTGCAGTATTACAAATACAAGTGATATATTGTAGCCCCCGCACTATCTATTGTTGCATTTTCTTCTTAATCTTCTTCTTATTCGCCTTACCATCATGCTTCGCCTTTTTCTTCTGCGTACTCTCTTTTCATTGCCTTCCATCCTTTTCTCATAAATTTGATTTTAATGTTCGCCTTCCTACTCACCATTCTTCGACTTCTTTCTCTTGCTTGCTTTCATTCCTTTGCCTTCATCTTTTCCCATAAACTTGATCCATATTTTCTTTTTATATCCATTCCTTCCCCCTTTTCTTCCTCTTTACTTATCTATAATAACATTCGTTCTTCCATCCCCGCCTTCTTTTCTTATTTTTCTGATTGTTCTCCTCTTGTTTCCTTCTCCTGCATATCCATGGAATTGTTCTAATAATCATCTTTGTCTTTTCTTATCCTCTATTTTACAGTTAGTATCATCAGTGTTGGCTTCTATTTTGATAGTACGCTGATTTTATAGACTCTGGCCGTGAAATTATGCAAGCAATAGGTGCAATACCTCATGTGTATGAACTTCTTTTACTGTTTGCCCTAACTCCCGCTGATTGTTTATGCTGTAAAGAGGTAAATTTCTCCCTGTGCTTAACTAATTAAACACTACGCTATGAAGGCATATGGGGGAGTGGATGTATAGATCCACATTTTATTGGCCTCGGCGCTATCCCGGATCCATTAATGCAATTAAAACAGGAACTATGGCAGTCTCACTGAATTACACATTCCAAATAATACACATAAATAATGTCTTCTAATCACGTGTTAAGTCTTCACAGGCCGACTTCTAATTATTCTTCAATTACACTGCTGTTCCCTTGGAACTTCGGAACTAAGTGAGGTCAGTTTCCATTCCCGTATTCTCTTATATCCTCTCGGCACGGACCACGCACAGAAAACACCCCCCCTCTATTGTCGCATGGCGCAGATCACACAGAAAACAAGTGTCGCGTGTCAGACTGCGGGCTGATTTGTTCGTTAGCAGCACTGGGCGTGATGCGAAGAAATGGAAAACAGCCTCTTCTATTGTTGCGTGTTGGACCGTGTTTACAGAGCTGTTGCCTGGCAACGCGTTGATCAAATCCGTTACAATATATATATATATAGTTCAATTTTTCTGTATAACCATCTGCGCACTATGAGCGAAAAACTCATGTGCATACTGTCTATTTCGCCGATCACAGTGGCTGCGCTGTCTAAGGCATGAACTGTCTTCGGTCCCTCGAACGCTGGGATCGTGAGTTCGAATCCCACTCGAGGCGTAGATGTCTGTGTGCGTTTATTCTGTGTTTGTGTTCTGTGTGTAGGTAGCGGCCTTGCCATTGGCAAGTCCTACCGACTGTGTATAGGATCAAGAAACTCAAAAAGCAGCCAAGGCCCAACAAAGGGCTGTAGAGCCATAATAATAATAATAATAATAATAATAATAATAATAATAATAATACTATTTCAGTACCAGTTGTCACTTTATAGTGTTGTTGTGGTACAGGTGTACATTCTGTATGCAGTATAGTGTTCACCACTTATGACACTCGATGCAAACAATATTTTCAGCAGCTCTGGCCTAAAAGAAATGGAAATCAAATCAGAACTATCGATTTTAGTTGACATCGGAGGAAGCCGGAAACTCGAAATATCAGCTTGAGCTTCTGCCTGCGGCAGCAACAAAAAGAAAGAAAAAATGACCTCGATAACTAATAATAAACGTCTAGAAGAGCAAAGGTGGCTCGCGCATGCGACTCAAATCTCACCGAATTCTGTTGGCTACAGTGCCCTTATACATGACATGTACACTCTGGGCAGAAGGCCTTTAATCCTGCTTCTCTGATTGATTTGATCTGAAGTTATGATGCTGTTTCAATTGCAGAGGTTTTTATGACGAGGAATAAGATGATTAACATGAAGGGTAGATCTATAAATAAGGATTGTGTAGAAGGCTTTCGTGGCCTGTTCCGAGGGGCTATCCTCCAATTTCGCTTGAAAGAACAGAAAATCCACAGACAACGAAAACTAGATGGTAATCCGCCCCAGATTCGCACGTAACATCTTTTTGTATGTGAAGAATGCCGTCTTCTGGGATGTGACGCAGTGTAGATCTTGTGTGAACCGGTGTTTCGGAGGAACGTATCGCCTCCATCTTCAGGGCAGAAAAATCCGCGAGCTAGAAACCAACGTGAGCAGGTGCCTGCAAACTGCAAGTGGTTTTACATGTGCCGTTCTTAAGAGAGATTGTACTGATGAGAACGTGATACGAAAATGGCAAGAAATTGTAGCGGGATCTCGAAGTGCAAGTAAAGCACAATTGCGGGTGGTGATAGTGTAGTTCTGTGGCTTCTTTAATTAATGATAAATGGGACACAATTTGTTAGGAAGTGGTCTGGCCAGACCGATATACTGTGCTATCCTATCATTTGCTCTAGAAGGGCTAGACCACGAAAAACGCTGGTCAGGATAGCCGGGGTCGCGGTCAAGATTTAAACTGAGCACCACCCGAATACAAGTCTAGACGTTACCGCCAGGCCAACCTGTCGATGATGTTTAATGTAAGAAAAATATTCCATGCAGGCATAAAGTTTTCTAACGCGTAGCAAAAAGTCGCAATAGAAGAATAAAGGGCAAAGGACAGGCTTTGAATCGATCTTGTTTATTGTTTTAATCTTTATCGCCATACAAAATATGTCTGTCAGTCACGTGTCATCCAATGCTTACACGCTTGTAACTATTTCTGTAACTAAGAGAGCCGTAGTGAAGGGAATGTGCTCAAGTTATCTACTCTCCTGGAGGGGCAACGGTTCGCTCAAAGGAGCGGAAGGACTGTGGCACTACATTTCCTGTCCATCTTACCGTCTTTTGTTTCACTTTACTGTACTCACGGCTTGTGCATGTTGGTGCGTGCTTATTCTTTCCCTCCTTGTTCCAGTGCAGAAACCGGCACACGTGAATATTCCAGTCGCGTATTATAGGAGATGCAATTTCAAAGCTCATGCCCCACGTTCTCCCGGTGTATGTAGCCTTGCGTATACTGAGCACCATATAAATACATCTGCGACCTTGCGAAGCCTTCATTACCGTGCAAGTTGGCTCGAACTGCAAAGCTTCTGACTTCTAGGTTTATTTGGGATGTGCCCGGTTCGAATATCAGCCGGAACACCGACTATACTGAGAGTTTTCTTGGTTTTCTTCAACCCCACCAAGACAGTGCAAGAAAAATGTAAACCTATCCCTGTAACAGGCCGTGGAAGGCCCATAGGGTTATGAGACGTCGAGATTCCCACATTTTCGCAGATGGCGGTAAGGTTGTCAGCCTTACGCTTCGGCCGCCCTTTAACCCCCAGTAAGATTCCTGGTAGTAATTTCTGTTAGAGGCTGAGTCGACCACAGGGCCATAATACGGCTTGAAGGATTAGGTGAGTTGAAAAAATCTAAATTACCTAATCGGGAATCGAACCCGCGACCTTCAGGCATGTAGCATAATGCCTCAACCAACTACGCTACAGCGTGCCCCCAGTCAGTGTAGAAATAATATCAGAAATAGACCATGGCAACTTTATTCCATACCCTTTCCCGCTTCCCTCCACGGCGGCCCGAATTCGATTACGGGCCACGCCATATGATATTTGTGGTGGAGAGAAGGAGGGGTCTCTGAATGCTCCTGTTTCCCCTACCACTTTTCATTCCACTGCTCCGCATGCATTATCATCCTATCATCGGCGCTATAAACAACTATCATTCGGTCATTTGGCAGTTAGTGTGAGGTCGCGGTCGATATAGTTCGCTCGCGGACTACAGGCCACGGAGTTTTTTTTTATGTTTAATAGTATGAGGTACCGACAGCGACACTAAATATACTACTGCATACAAAAAAAAAGCATTCGTGACGTTGC